AGTAAGAGAATAAGTAGACCAGGAACGTTCAAGCGCCTGAAAAAATAGATAGGCAACTTAACCTACGTGGTGACAGAGCATTTGGGATCGAGGTTTACACAGATAAACTAGTTGTTATGTTAATAATCGGAAATCGTGTCTACTTTCCCTACAAAAACAAGTGAAACACCCAAAACCGTTTACACATTTCTTCTCTAAGTCGTGATCTAACTTCTTTTTAAAGAATCGAAATGGTATCCATAGTTATTATATAATGTTAAGCACGTTATTGTCTTTACAATGGATTTAACAATATTTAATATTTGTACCATCTACAGACATAATGATTTCAGTTATAATTATTCCTGAAAAACCCTGTGACCTACACATTACAGTATTATAGTATAATAATATTATACTGGTGTCTATTATTTTAGTTTTATTTACTCTGTGTGGATTTTTAACGGTATAATACTCGTCTTGCAACTACTTATTGCTTTTTTTTTTTTTGTTACGATATAAATTGTTCACGCACAGCTGCTAAGTTATTATTATATTTTAATTGTTACACGTGTGCAGTAATTTTAACAAAGCTGTGCATGTTAGTAACATTCCAAGGCCAGGTAAAGCCTAAATTTATAATACACCAGTTAAAAAGAACAAGTGACAAACAGACTGTATTAAAATGTATACCTAACATCTTGTGGCGAATCAGTGTTTTAGTCTGTTTTTGTTTTTCCTTAGCAATAAAAAAGTCAACAGATTTGTTATGTCCATAACCGCAAAAAAATATTTATATTTATTTTTTTACGGTTCTTAGTATTGAGGTGTAGGTGGGTTAGATTAGTGGAACACAAGATGGGCATATTCTTGTATGTGTAGTTATTATTTCCTCTTTTCTTTTGGTATTGTGGTGATACAACAATTTTTGGACCATGGGCTGGGCATCTCTGAGCTTGTTTGTGAAGGGGTTGGTTGTTACAATAATTATATTATTTCACACAATATCAGAATACCATGCACAATCGAATAATATGCTTATAAGCATTTAACAAATCTTATGTAAACGTCAATTTGTACAAGTGCTATTAAAACTAAATACTTAGAATAAAATAGTCTAATAGGGTAATGTAAATATTTTATCATATTAAAAAAAACAGCTGTGTAAATTAATTAACATATGCACCCATTAAATAACGTTTAGATTTTACTGTTTCAGTCGACATAAAAACCCATTCAAAGATCGTAAGAAAATCAATTTGAAAAAGTTTCAAAATCTGATTGAATGGTTTGCTGTATTATTAGCTAATATAGATAACTGTATTATTATTAAGTAATAGAAACACACGTCCAAGATCGTAGGTACATTTTTTTTATACATTTTGTTAAGTTTTACAAAATTAATTATTTTAGTAACTGCTAGCAATAGCTTTTACTGAAACAGTACTGTTACATAACTGTATCAATAGTTACCGTATATGTTATTTTATAGAACCAAAAGTAAAAAAAAATTAGTTTTTCTAAATAAAAATAAAATAAAATCACCTCGAAATTCAACAAGTAATTTTTAAACATAAAAATGTTTATTATTATTTTTGCAGATAAAAATGAAACTTTTATGTATTATTTTAATATCATTTGCGTTGGTGAATGTTTTGGTGGCCTTAGGTGGTTATTTGATTTTTACACTTACACGAGACAGTAGAAATCTATAAAAAAAAAACTCAATATTTAACTTATTTTACAGATGATTATGAAAACCTGGTTTGCATTACAAGTCAGTAAACATATTTTAAATAATTGTTTGAGTCTTACCATACTTATGTGTATAATTTTTTTACAGACCAACATATGTTTAATACAAGAGGTAAAATATAACTAATGTATTAATAATCAAACACTGAAATGTTTTTGACTCTACATAATATGTCTGAGATGATCAAATTAAATTAAAATTGAAACATTTTAGTTTTTATAATTTACTAAAGGCAGTAGTTTTTTTAACCTAACAAGATGAGTAATGTTAAGCGAAATGGTGAAATTTTTTTTGTATTCCCTACCACAAATAATGTTTAAGTACTTTATATCTTTTTTTTTTTTAATATCTAAACCCATTACTTGTTTATTCTAGCTTATTTGCCGAAAGTAATTGAAAACATTGTTCTTTATGGAGGATATACGATAGGTAATTATAATTGTATAGTAAATAAAATAATAATAATGATTAAGCATGCTAGTAGATGAACATTTGATGGAATGAAATATATAATGAAAATTTCACAAATTTTCATTAGGAAAATTTATCAGTGATGTAAATCTTAAATCTGAATGAAATCTTGATGACAAACATGGCTAATGCCACTTTGTTTAACCTCACTTAAGATTAATGATTATATTTATGTTCTACTAGCCTCATCTGCTTCAATTCAGCAATTTTATTAACATAGTCTCTCCACTCAATTTAATTTAATAAATCCAAACACATTTTTTCCGAATTCATAAAACATATTCTTCTACTCGACTTTCGTATTTTTTATTTATTTTAGTAGAAAATATTAAATGTGATGTCATTGAATAATACATATATTTTATGTTATTTTTAGTTGAATTAGGTTTAATGTTCGCAGTACCGGGTAATGATTTTCTTGACATTGGAATTATTTCCACATACTTGTTTGTTATTCATTAATTACAAAATTTGTTTTTATTTTAATTTCAGAAGCCGAAGACAAAGATGTCGAAGATTACATAAATAAACGTAAACATTTAGTTGTACTTTTTTTTTTATATATTGAGAAAAATCATAGACTTACATACATTGATTTCTGTCATACTAAAATGTGATGAACATTAAAATGTATTTTGTTTTAAATTTTAGAGAAGATAGAATACCAAGTAACGGCGCAAGAAAAAATATGGTGTTTAACATGTAAATATAAAATTTAACTTTTTCTGTACAATTACTTTTCCTGTATTATTAAATTTGATTATTGTGTTATAGTTCTGAATAAAAACGATTAATACTCGGTAGAACTTCAGTGTCATATTCCTATTTGTCTTTTACTTCAGGTTTCGACGATCGTTCAAAATTTACTTAAAACCGTTAATTCAAAAATGGCTACTAGAAGTTTTGACATTATTTTACATTGTTTTAGTTGTTTAAATAAACAGAGTCAATTATAGAACGACTGATATATCTGTATACATGAATAATAATTACGATTTTTTTTAACCATACAATTAATATAATATTTTCTATTTTGGTTACAGTAACCGGTGCACCTCAGATCAACGCAGGTAATCACAATCGTTTATGTATTTCCCGGAGGTATGGCTTGGTAAATTGCTAATGTACAAGTTCAACAAAAGAGGGAAAAAAACGTAACCTTGCGTTTGGCCGATGATTAGTCTATTTTTCTTCCAAGCCATGTTACCAAAGCACTTTGCGAATTGTAAAACTGAGCACACTGTTTGAGAGGTGGTAAAGGGTTTTGCACGAAATAGCTTTCAAAAATGTGTGTAGCAGTCCAGCTTTCCTTGTCGTGTCTTGAGCGAATCCTAAGACTGTGCGTGTTGTGGCAGTTTTTTCCAATAAAGGAGTTAACACTTTAAAATTTGTTGGCTTAATAAAGTACCTTTTAGGTTCTAACGGTAGATTTTACAAATAATTGGCAACATTATAGTTTTTTTTTTTTGAAATGTAATGCAACTCCAAAGCGAGCAACTAATTTATTATTTTTAAAAATTTTTAGGGGAATTTAGTAACGTTACACTAAAAGATTTGGGAAATAGAAGAAGAGTGATAACTTTAGAAGCTATACAAGTTTTAATCCGTGCTGTTCTACGTAAATATTTAAAAACATTTTATATATATATATATATCTAACATATACTGATTGTAATAGTTTTAACTGTACTAGGTTTATTATATTATAAACAAATGACTTCCTCAAATCATTATACAAAAAACAAAATAATATAATTTTACAGACATTCATTATTATTATGAAACACAAAATGTATTTATATTTTAACAATAGTAGTATAAAGCTCCCTGACCATGGTTAAAGTCTAGGCGTCTGTTCTTAACAAAAATTCAGTAGGAACTAATCATTACCAACATATTATACTTTTCTTATTTGACGAAATCAACCACAAATTCTTACTGAACCAAGAGTAGAACTTCCGTTGTAAATGTATATATTTGTTTTTTGTTTATACATTTTATACAATGTTTATAAATACATAATAGCATTTATGGTAGACAATATGATGTTCGACGGTGTTCATCCAATAAAGAGTAGAATGTCTGTACAGCACGGACACCCTCATTATTTTTCTTACACTTGTAGTTGTGTTCTACAAATGAGGAAAAGTAGTATCGACTAAGCTAAATTTGATAACTTTTTTTTTTTTGCAGGTGGAAATAATAGAAACTTCGACAATTTTTATGATTTGTGTCGTTTAATAGGCTTATTGAGAAGTATAAAAAACCCGGGTTCATTTATAGTACTTGCTGATCTCGACCCAAAAGACGCAAGAGTTTGTGACCTTGTGGATATGAACAGAGGAGTTAGCTTTTATTATAATATCGAAGGCAACATTTGGGAATACGACGACAAAGGTATTCCAAAAGAGTTACTCTTCTCACAAGTACAATGAAAGTACTATTATTGTTATTATATGTTTGCATACGTCCTAATAACAAAGTTGTCAATTAATTTAATTTTTTTGAAAATAAAAAGTTTTAATCACGATTAAAAAAACATTTGTTTTGCTTATGTATTGTTATATTTAAGTATTAAATAAATAACACTTTAAATGTATAATAGTTGTATTTAATAATTAAATCCCGCGTAAATGGATATTATTATATGAGTGGCATCAATATTCCTATTTTTGGGATAGAACCACATTAAATCCATAAAAAAGTGAAAGAGTTATATCAAAGTACATTGGTGATTGACTAGAATGGTACATTTTTTTATTTTACAAAAGAACAGACTTGGTTCCTATTTCAACGGCCAACAATTACACCAAGTTTAGATTAATTAAACATATATCATTACATATACCAGTTCGCCGAATATGCAAAACCCTTCCTTGTTAACAACTTCAACTAAAAAATATTTAAAATAATCATCTATGTTAATTCAGCTATTTTATTTACACAGTCTTCACTCAATTTATTGTAATAATTCCCAACACATTTTTCCCGAAGTCATAAAACATATAATTCTACTCGACTTTCGTGTTTTTATTTATTTTAGTAGAAAATATCAAATATAATGTCATTGAATAATACATATATTTTATGTTATTTTTAGTTGAATAAGGTTTAATGTTTGCAGTACCGGGTAATGTGTCAAGTACACATGTGTAAATTTTCACAATGGATAGAGAAGAATTTTATCTACGGGGTAGCATTTCTACTTTTTTGATAACCTATTGGACGCCACTCCGCCCATTTTTAATGAGTTAAGTAAGTTTAAGGACATTATTATACAAATGAACACTTAACACCGCTATACCCATTTGCTCAGGTGACAAACAAAAAAATGGGCAATCGTAACTATGAGGTAATTTATTGGACGAAATATTTCAAAAGCTTACTTATTTTCCCTACAAAATCCAATGAAACGCCCAAAAGTATGTGAATAATATTTCACTTAAAACTAAGGTATCCCTTACTTTTTAAAAAAAAAGTCGAAATGGTACCTAAATTTGGGAATTTTAACATAACATCTACATTTTTCTCAAAATAATCTAATCTAGTCAAATTTTTTTCAGTCAGAAAAAACCAAAAAAAGGAAAAATTGTATTTTTGATGTTTTTCATTTCCTGGTTGCTCTTTGTATAAATGATTCAACAGTCAAGATAGTGTAGACAAATATTTACATCACCAATATCCATAGAAATAACAACGACAAATTGTCATAAAGAGACGACTAACCCTACCGTAGCAACCCTAATACTAAAAATACAATTTGAAGTACATTGTGGCCTTTACAATGAGTTTAGCAACATTTTATACTTGTACCATCTACAGGTATTATAATTTCTTAAACCCTGTATAATATTCTTTTTGCAACTAAGACTTACTTTTAGCTTCGATGCAAAGCGAGATGGTATTGGTTTTACTCTGATGTGTGTTTTTTTTTTATCTGTATACACTGTAACTTTTTTAATACTGGACCAATTCCTTCGAGTAGCAACTCTGTAAATCGCAAATTTAATCTAGTTGGTACTTTGGGGGGGGGGGGGTTAAAGTTGAAAAAGTTTAATTCTTCTCAGACGAAAGTTGAAAAAACAAAAAAAAAAACGTACGAGTTTTTAAGTTAGAACTTTTACTGGCTATAATTTTGAGATAAAGAGTCGGATCGAGTTGAAATGTATAAGAAATAATTATTTGGTATGCCCGCACACGTCAGTTGTGTCAAACTTAAACTATACCCATTTCCCACCCCCCTAGGGGGGGTACAAGTTTTTTTGTTTTTCGGGGTTTTTAGTGGTAATTTTTAAACTTTTGGGTTGAAAATTTGCCAGTAGTTGGAACTCATATGTACCCATAACATATTAAACGGGAAAAAAATTCGGCATTACAGTTTTTTTTTAATTGCCGGGAAACTGTGTTTTCGCAGATTTCGTATATTTGAACAAAAACACCTAAAATCTTTAAAAAAAATTGATCAAATCATTAAAACAATTTTATGTATATCTATGCAGAATGATACTATTAGGTTTTGTGCTCAAGTACCACTTTTGACTTAAAGTTTACACAAATTCAATTTTTTTTTTTTTTTTAACTAAAAACCCGGTGTACCAGATGTGAGAAACGAACAGACACTAAAAACTATCAGTTGGTAACGTCTATCCGTGTTAGATTAGGTTAGGGCCCAATGATCGGTATCATAATATTGTGTTTATTACATGATATCACAGGCGACTAAATCGTGTAACTGATTGTAGTAGACACTCGATTTATTGGGAAAAAAAACCTATCCGTGTACTTATTAAGACACTTAATGATTCTGATACGACAAAACCACTGTCGTTATCTCGTTATTTTATAGACTGCGTTATATAACCTTACCCAAGGTCAACTATGAGTATATAAGGTCCAACTACCTGCAAATTATGAAGAGGACTGTTGTTTTTTGGATTCGGATTAAGTGTTGGTTTTTATGCAGTATACCGCCTCAAAATGTATTTTTTATTACACAATTTTTTTAAAGGAAAACTAATGTTTTGCATATTGTTATACTGTTATTCATTTAAAGAGATTCACGCTTGATTGTTTAAATTGTCTAATATTAGATAATCTGCTTCGTGCTAATTTTAATTTTTTAGTTTATCAACTTGTAGCTCTAATTTTGTATAAAATATTTCATTATTTTATTACTATGTACAGATTAAGATAAATTTTAATAATAATTAAGTCATAAATGATAATACTTTATTTTATGACTAGATCAAATCTCGTGAACATTTAACATCATGATACTGCTCCTATGATATTATTAAAAAAACACAATTTTTAAAATCTCCATAAAAGGTTATTGTTAAATAACAGGCAACAGCCGACAGCTAGTGGCTATACACGTTAGTAATATTTAACTAATAACTAATATATGTAGGTAAAATTTATTGTTTTCTCCATCACAGTACCAGTATACGATTTATTTTAATTTAAATGTAAGAAAATCGATTTTTCTTTAGAAAATAACAAGAAATTAATATACAGGATGAGGCAGTAAAACGGCGATTTTCTTATGTATTTAAATGGTAAAACCCGTTTCACTATCCCACCCTTTACATTTTAAGGATCTATGAAAAGGTTTTTTTAGTTGCATTTTATTTTGTACATTGTCAATCTAGTAAAATAGAAGTATAATATAGCTTTGAAATAATATAATCTGTGAAGTATAAATAGTTTGTGTGAGATTGCTTTAATGGAAGTATATAATACATAAATATTGAATAAATTATTATATAAATTGATAATAATCATAGTAACCCTATGATGGACTTCTATTATATGAAATTATGTACATTAAAATGTATTTTGTTTTAAATATTAGAGAAGATAGAATACCAAGAAATTGTGCTAGAAAAAATATGGCGTTTTTCATGTAAATATAAAATTAAACTTTTTTTATACAGTTATGAAATCTGATTGTTTTAATACCTATTATAGTTCTGAATAAAAACTAATAATATTCCATAGAAGTTCAAAGTGATATTCCTATATGTTTTTTACTTAAGGTTTCAATAATCGTTCAAGACTTAATTATAAACGTTAATTCAAACATGGCTACTAAAAGTTTTGACATTATTTTACTTTGATTTATTTGTCTATATACCCAATTATATATAGCACGAATGTTATGTATGAAAAGTATTTATGTAAAAGTATTTTTTTTAACCATACAATTGTTATAATATTCTCTATTTTGGTTACAGTTACCGATCCAATTCCGACAAACACAGGTAATCACAATCGTTTCTCAGATTTCTCAGAGGTATACCTTAGTAAATTGCTAATGTACAAGTTCAACAAAAGAGGGGAAAAACGTAACCTTGCGTTTGGCCGATGATTAGTCTACTTTTCCTCCAAACCATGTTACCAAGGCACTTTGCGAATTGTAAAACTGAGCACACTGTTTGAGAGGTGGGGCGGTTGTGCACGAAATAGTTCTTAAAAATGTAGTTTTTCCAGAGATCATTAATTTTCAAAGGTCTAATGGTAGATTGTACAAATAATTGGCAACATTATAGTTCTTTAAAATGTAATGCAACTCTAACACCAGCAACTAATTATTGATTTTCTAATTTGTTAAGTTGAATTTGGAAACCCTAATCTAAAAGATTTGAGAAAAAGAAGAAGATTAATAACTTTAGAAACTGTTAAAAGATTAATCCGTGATGTTTTAGGTAAATATTCAAATACATTGTAACATATACTAATTGTAATAATTTTAACTGTACTAGTTATATTATCTTATAAACAAATAGCTTCCTCAAAGATAATATTTAAATAATAATCATTATACAAAACAAAAAATAATATTATTCATCTATAGACATTCATTATTGTCACGATGACACAAAATTTTAATTTTTATAAACAATGGAAGTATAGAGCTCACACAAGTAGCATATATATATATATACTACTCACACAACATGGTTAAAGACTACAGTCTATTCTTAAGATACATTTAGTAAAAACTTTTCAATTTAGTCCTAGTTTTTGGTATGTCTTGTTATAATTTTTGGACTCTTTTGGTTATAATTTTAATTCATTATAAACTACTTTATTTATTTAACAATTACCTATTATAACTCGAGTAAAAGTTTATACATATAATAATATTTAGTCATTACAAACAAATACTATTATTTAAAGATCAACTACAAAGATATATTAAACAATGTAAAACTTACATTGTCTAATTTTGTTTTATTTTAAAAGTTTGTAGTAATAGAAACTATGAAACAAACTATGGCGTTTCGTTTGGTATATTAATATTTTTCTACAATTTTCATAAATAATAGCTGTTATGATTTACAATATGATGTTGGACCGTGTTAATGCAATAAAATGTTATTTGCTGAAAGTAGAATGTCTGTGCTACACGGACACCCTGTACATTTCATTATTTTTCTTACATTTTATTATTCACTTGTAGTTGTGTCTTACAAATAAAGAAATGTAATATCAACTGAACTAAATTTGATAACTTTTTTTTTTTTATAATAATATAATAATATTATAATAATATAATATTGAAGGCAGCATTTGGGAATACAGCCTCGACGGTACTCC